CCCAGAAACACAGTCAATATCAAGGTTATTTAACACTGAAAACTCAGTCTAGCTAGCTGGGGGTGTCAGTACAAGACACCCTCCCCTCCCCTTCCCCCTGCTTTTGACAGCTGGCTGCCAGCAAACCAACAGCAGATAGGCCATGTGCCCAGCCTGGCTGTGATATATATATAAATTATGTGTTTTATTTTTAGGTATTTCATCTGCTTCATCGTCTCTCAGTCTTACAGACTCGGATTGCTCTACCACAGAAGATCCACGAATTGGAATTTTGAAAGGCAGGGTGCATCAGATAGCTAAAGCGGGATTGGAGATGTTTGATGTCAGCTCACCTAAAGAACTGCAAGATTATCTCACCTACTTAACTCACAAGATGGACAGTGCAGGTACTCAGCAGTTTATACTCAGAATAAAACGAGCGGTTCCGAATGGAAAGCGCGAAGTCCGTAAACTTCACTTAATTATAAATAGGTGAACGCCAGAAAGATTGTGTTCATGAGAATCAGTGACTTTGATATAAGCGTTCTCCAATAGCATATTTGTGATATCCAAATGCGTGTGGTTGTCCATCTGTTGAGAACGCAGAAGTCAGCTGAAAAAGTTATATAAATAACACCAAAACAATTACTCTAGAACAGAATGCTAATTTAATAAGCGATACACTCGGTTGATATAGCAATATTTCCATACCGTATATGAGAAAGTCCATCTTAAACTTGTCTAGTGTTCCTTAGTGCGGTTTTGGTGTACATGTGTTCAGGAATACCTTTGATTCAAACCTTCTTGCAACCCCAAGGATGATATCATTGCTTCTGAGTCATTATCACCCTCTTAACCATCAGTCGAGTCTTCTTGATGCTTATTCCTTACCATTGCGAACTGTTTAAAGGTGTGTTTTGGTTCTAAGTAAAGAATTTTTCTGTCTAGAGGAAACCTCGGCACACGAAGCCATGTTTGTTTTGGATTCTGCGATAAAAAAAAGGCTTTCCAGGACCACTAGAATATGCAAAGGACCAAAACATAATGGGTACCAAAGAAATCTCGGGGAAGTGGAAAAAGGCAATTTTTTAGTATTTACAAAAGGGCCACCTGCCTCACTTACCCTGCAAGGGAGTGTATATATGACCCCAGCTACCCCTACACGAAGTTGACAATGAAACAGAGTGAGAAATGAAAAGTTTAACAGATTTTTATTATGGTCTTTTAGTATGTCGTCATATTGTGTCCAGCTGACGAAAATATTGACATCTGAAGGCCACGTTTTCGATCAGGAATTAGCATTTCGCTTACGTGGAATACCTTTCCCAATATACTAACCCCAATGGTCCACCGTCCTACGTACTTTGCACCAAAAATGGTGTCAGGAGTTCGGGAGTTTCAATAAAAGCATTGATATGGAGAATGTGAGGTCGAGTTATTAGTTCAACTAGTGTCGGCAATCCTGTTCTTCTACTTACATACATACATGCATGTATGCATACTTACATGCATGCATGCATGCATGTGTGCATGCACGCATGCATGCATTCGTGCACACATACACCCGGCATCGTCCAATCTTATGTTGTGTAGGTGCTGTGGTCTCTGAAGTCTCAGAGGTAGAGAAGGCGTACAAGCGGTCAAAACTTTTGTTGCTTATTGAAGCAACTGAATGTAACAGTTTGAACAAAAACTCTGATGGACCTCCCGATTTCGTTTGTTCTTTCCCTGAACCATTCTTCCTGTCACTTTGTTATTCACTATATCTTCTTAGTTATCTATGTATTCTATCTATTTGTTCGTACAACCAGTAACTGAAGACATTATTCCATGCTTTGTTCACAGGGCTTCTAAGAACCAGAGGCCGTGTTTCAGACAAGCCACTTTCCACCTGGGAACATGATGCGTCAAAGGAAGGAGCCCGTAAGAGTACAGCTCCAGAGGAGCAGCCATACACTGAAGAAGGAAAGACTCGACCAGAAGGTGGCACAACTGGAGATGAGCATACAGCCTCAAGCATGGGCAGTGAACTCCAAGGAGATGAAAAATGGTCTAGAAGTGCTGCAATGCAAAAGACTTCAAAGCCAGGTACAGTTGTCTTCTACTGATATAACACTATACTGGGTAATTGTATGTACTACGTGATGTTTCTTGAAATCGTTGTTTATGTTGTTTCTTTAAAAATTTTTATATGACTGAGAAAAGTACTAACTACTTATTAACCGAGAATGAGGTCTTTACGGGAAAATCTCAAACCGACACCTTGCCGTATTGACCAAGCGATAGCGAGGTTTATACGGCAAGGGCAAGGTTTGAGATTTTCCTGTGAAGACCGAACGTTCGAGGTTAATAAGTTGTTTATTATATGGACTTGTGCTTTGGTTTTGCAGGCCCGTCGTGGGCATCACGGGAGATTGTTATATGACTATGTCTCACAAGGACTGGGAACTACCGAATTCACGAATTTGATTGGCTGAAATCGATATTGAGAGCAGTCTAGATTTTCCCATCTAGACCGGCATTTAGACCGGTAATGTTTTACAGTGAAAAAGCTGCAAACTAAAATGCAAAAGTATAGACCATTTTCTGCTAACAACATTTATTTATGGAAGTGCCAAAAAGGGTGATGAGAAAAAACAGTAAAGAGGACGAGCAAACTTTGGCAGAATTAAGTTCAGCTCATCGCCGTTCGCAAGCAAAATGCCAGCTAGTACAAACCAGTTAC